GTGGAATTTGATCGAATCGGTTATTGGCTCTGTTGAAAATGATTGTTGTTCCTCAGCATCGGGATCAAAACTATTTGGAAAGTAGGGCACATGGCCCTACTCGATTTGGGTCATTTGGTTCACCTCCCTCTGGTGGGTTCATGGAGGTAAATTGTCGGGCTTTTGAGTCCAGGGCAGGTTTATATCATACCAAATCGAAGTCTTGCAAGAAACCTGTCATCAAACGGGCCCTCACGGGTTCCTTATCTCCCAAAACGCGACCACCTTTAACATCACTGCCTGTTAATACTGTCAAGTCTCATTCTGAAGATCAAAAGAAATCAGGAAAAACAGCCCAAAATTTCATGGTTTCGATACCATTTAACCTCAAAGTGGATGTAGGTTCTAGGAATGAGGGTTCCTTGAATGATGAGTTACCGTTTTCTGAACTATGGGCTGGGCCAGCGTATTCAAATTCTCCTCCTCCTAGTTCTTTGCCCATGCCCAAATTTTTTCTCAGGCCTAAAAGGAATGCCTCTCTTGAGTTTCCTACTTCAGCATGTGATATTCATTTACGTCCCATTGCCAAGTCTGCACCAGCATCTCCAACCAGGGAGAGCAGTCTTTCTCCGGGAATTGTGTTTGACAATACTGACTCAGTGACACAGACTCTTCGTCGCATGCTCAACCTTGAAACTAATGCCCAAATTCTCCTTGAAACTAATGATGGATGAATGTGTGGTGGGAGTTCTGAATAGCAGTTAACTAGGGTATTATTTAGTTTTCGTATTGGGTAATAGTAGATAGTTCGTATGGTGAATAATTCAGTTTTTAGTTAGTAAGTTACTGTTTCGCTTAGTGTTTGTCATGGTAGATCAGTAGTGAAGTTGCAACATCTGTCAAGATTGGTTATTTTAAGGGGAATTCAATATGAACAATGGCTAGTTGATCGATACTCTCCTGGTATATTCAAAGTTCGTGCAGTCATGGTTAGACTATGAGGGGTTCAACAAATGGAGTATGTTTGTGCATCGAACAGTGGAAGAAGAATCTGAGTGATGAGTGAGATGCTCCTATTACATTACAGTAATAGATAGCTTGTAGTTCTTTGTAGAGGTTGCGTAACTTGTTGCTCAACTATCTTTGCTGCCCTGGAGATGAATTTGTTATAACCATCAATTGTCATTCTTGATTCCAGTGTCGTGGGATTGTTTATTGCCTCTTCATGTTCTTTTGATGTTCTGTAAATCGGAGATATTGTATATATCTTAGACCCTACCAGATTAGCATCCCTTTAGACTTCTGGTTTATTCAGTTACTAGATCTTAGCCTTTTCATCCAATTCTGCATCCTAACCATCTCTATTTCTTAGTAGATTCAAATTCTTGACTAGGAAATAGGACATTTGGTATATCTAAGTCCTTGCTATTCCTTGAATGCCTGAATGGGCTGGTCATCATCATAACTTTGTATGTATTCTCTTCTCAACTCTGAATAGGATATATGTCCTACTTCTTCCTCTTGAAGTTGTTTCCCCTTGACCAATTTTCTGTTTTTTGGGAATGAAAATTGGGTAGGGAAATTATTAGTCAGTTGTATCCTTTTCTGTTCCTGGTATTCGTATCTTCCCTTTTAGCTTTCCTTTTGCCAGTCCAATTATGCTAGTTAAGAGGTTTATTCCTTCACCAAAAAGAAAATCATCTTGCCTAAGGAGATTGGTGATCACTAGCTACTGATAAGGTAAGACTTCCTAAGTCTTTTTTTTAATTATCTATTTTGATGTTGTCTGTAACTTGGTATCTAGCTACATGTGCTACAGTTTATGCTTATATTTGAAGTTTTTTTCTTCTTTTCTGTGTAGCGCTTTTAGTTGGAGCTGTTGGAAGAAGATTGTTGAGCGGTTGTTCTCCCTACTCTCTACTCTCGCCATGGTAGCACTACTCGTTATATGTCATTTCAGTGTCTCTATAAGATGTTGTCTGTAGGTCATTCGACCAAACTGGTAGTTACTACTGCAGTAATTATCTAGTTATGTCATGTTTTAGGTTTTGGAGTTTTACTTTTGTTGTTGAACTTGTTGATTTTAAGGTGGCATTTTGATTACGACTTCAATTATGTTCCTTTGCTTCTGTTGTTTGTCTCGAAGTCTATACTGTTACTAATGGAGTACCTATTTTGGTTATCAGATGCTGCTTATGTGTAGTTGGTAAATGCAAAAGCATCGTTGGTATTGGAACAACTAAAGAAAATGCACGTCATATCTACTGATTTCTTTGCTAGTTTTTATCTCAAATCTTTAGTCATGATACATTTAAAACAATGTGTTCAAGTTTGAACAAGATGAGAGCAGTTCATCTGTCTTTTACCAGTAGTGAATGTATGCACTTCGTCGATGTTAGCACATATCGTATGCAAAAGCTAATATTACTACTCCAATGCTTAAATTTGTTCGTCTCTTTTGGACCACATAACATCTTTATGACTATAAGATAAAAAAAATATTTGGTAAAACTACAAGATTCAATGTTCTTTTAGTTTCCTGTCAAGTCATAACTCAATCAATAAATTAAGACGGAGTATTATTTCACTCTTCTTGATGATGACACTTGAGCCCAAAATGTGGTACACACCCCATCATGCAACACGCATTACAAAACTGATTTTGTCATACATAGAGCATTTTCTACCAACTAGTTTGTTTGTTTATTTGTGCACGTAATTTAGAGAGGACAACTATATGGAGTATCATATTCATATGTGCATGCAGAATTAACACAACCACCTGATTGTCGATTCTGTATTGTGATCAAAGTAGGTAATTGCTAAGCACAATCAATGGAATAGAGGGACTAATCAAAAAATATTTGTTTAGGAATTATATCTTCTTTTTGAAAAATATATTTTTTATATTTATATATATAAGTAACACAACTGTTATTTGCTTAAGCATATGATAGTATCGGCAAGTACATTTAAGAGGGTCACATAAATAAGTTAATCGACTATGCAAATCGTAATTTAGATGGCGTATTAAAAAATAAGATTGATCGATAATAAATTAATTCAATCTTGATCAAGTCCCTTTAATACAGTACATCTCAAAATTAAAAACAAAGTACATCTGCCTTAGCGTTGTGAATTACATCAAATTACCAAATTGTGCCAAACTCCAAAACATACTCAGATGGAGGTGAATGATGCTGAAACTACAAGGGTAAACAAGAGAAAATATGGCAGTTCTATTGTGTATCCTGTATTTCCCTTAGATCCACCTGCCCAAAAATAAGAGGAGGTTATAAATTTTTTTGAAATAATTATAAAGAAGAGTTTTTGTTCTTATTATTTGGATTGGTACCTGAAGAACCAGATGGAATAGTAGCTGACAAGAGAGAAAAAGAAAATTATGTGTTAGTAAGAAATGGCTTTGGATAGGTAGGCATGCATGATGGCATGAATAATGTTCATTAACTAACTGACCTTTACAGAGAGTAAGGGATGGTGTCTGAACATTACAAGCTTTAGGAAGAGCCATAGCCTGTGTTTGATTGACATTGATTCCTAAAGGAGCACCACCATTAACCACTTGACACAAACATTTTGGCTCATTTTTCAATATAGTGGCTAGTTGAGTGCAACATCCTGATGATGGTTTTGTAGCATTCCCTTGTATATAATCCAAACAAGGTGCTAATCCAACAATCACTTGTTGACAATTAGTATCTGACTGACCACTTATAACTTGTATTGGAAAAAAAGCCATAGCCATAAGAATTGCACAAGCAAACATCTTCATTTTCTTGGAACGAACTTAAATGACGAATTGATGATGGAAATATTAGTGTTTATAAAGACAGATGGAGGAGTTATGTATGGGTGACACAACTTTGCCTACCTTCATAACAAATCCATTTATCACTTTTTCCTTCCTACTTTATTAATTATATTCCCACTCCGTTTCTTATGTCGGTTGAATGGACTTACTACTTGTTAATTTAATTTATTTTTAAAAAAAAAAATTATTTCTGTATTTTTTTATTTGTTGAAGATTAGTTCAAAATTAACACCACTCTGTAGCCTCAAAAAGTAGTTAACTGTCAGATATTAGAAAAGGTCAAAGCTTATTCTTCTCTGTATCATGTACTCTTTTAACTTAAACAAGGATTTAACTAACATATAGTTGGTTTCAATTTAAGTAATGCTCTCTAATTAAATTTATTTGGAAAAGAATTGTTCTTAAACATTAGGATTTTTAAATTAAAGTCTTTAAAGGATGCATATGGACAGAAGTACATAAATTGTTACAGCAAAATTAAAGGTGGCTACGGTTTAGTCAAACTCGATTGGTCAGTAGCTGTAACCAATAATGACTTGTGGGCCGCCCTCTTTTAATCAAGGCAAAGCTCTATTTTTCACAAATTTCTTTTATCTTAAGATCAAATATAGTACCCGTTTTTGGTTTTCTCAGAGATTCCAAGACTCAAAAAGGCAAAATTACAGTATTATGTAAAAATTTATTAAATGCAAATTCAACAACTATGAATTTGGAAAAAAGTCGAAATTTATAACCTTCAAAATCTTGATTGTTTGAGTGCTGTCTATATCTATAGACTATAGATCAAGTTCAATTATTAGTTAATGGAGTTTCTTATCTACTCTATATACTTTTAGTTTCAGAGAGTTAAGTTGTAGGGTGAGGGTTTAGGCTACAACTTTTATGACTAGTACTTTCAAAACAGTACTAACCTAACCTTTTATGTGTTAGGGATTAATTATTCCTATATTAAATTGAAAAATCTTTTTAAATTTGTTACTTAATCAGAATTTTGCTAATAAAATTAGTGGACAAAGTATTTTTTTGTATTAATATCATATGATACTAGGTAGCTAATTGAGTGGTGAAGAATATTAATGAAAGAGCGAGTTTTTATGAGAAGCCTTACCTTAATTTAAGCAAAACAAATAGATGTCCTATGAAGAAGGAAATCCACATACATTTTTATTGTATAAATAGGGTAGGGCATGAACATTAGAAAATCGTCCAAGGAAACACTGTAAAGCAATAGTAATTGTTAAAAGAAATAAAAATGGAAGGTCAAAAGTTTGTTGCAGTGTTTCTTATGTGCATGGTTGTATTTACAGCTGTGTGTGAAGCCACAGAAGAAGAGTATCAGGATTGCTATCACACATGTCACGATGAATGCACAGCTAAACAAGGACAAGGTTATACCTTTTGTGAGATGAAGTGTGATGCAGACTGCTCAAAGAAGGATTTCGTTGGTAATTTATTATATATATCTTTTATTTAACATCAAATTAAATGTGTTTTAATTCTTCTTACATTTTTGCAGCTCAATTCCCTAAATTCAAGGCTTAATGAGGAGGACCAAAGACATAATAAAAGCAGTCGGATTAATTAATGTATTACTGCTCATTGTAATTTTCAAAATTCAATAAAAAGAAAAATATTCATTTCCATTCTGCTAATTTTTTTTAAAACCAAATTAATTAAAAGAAGAAACAATACTTAACATGATTTATCTGTTATTATTCCATTTATAAAACAGCCAACAAGAGTAGATTTTACATTACATATACAAAGACTAAACAAAAACTACATATTATAATTAATTAGCAAGGATAATCACATGCACAAAAAGGACCATCAAAGCCAATTTGCTCAATGCATTGTCCACCAGCAGAGGATCCAAATTTGTCATTGCAGAAAGGTAAACATTCCCCTTCAACTTTGCCTTCATCACACAATATCTCTGGGTGTATTTGATAGCATGTTTCTCCCAATATTTCCGATGGGATCATCAATATTCCAACTGCATGCATGCGTACAGATTAAACACTTCATTTAAAATCATAGATCATCCACTTCTAATGAATTGATTTGATTTTTCTCTCTAACCCACATACAATGGTACACATGTTTTTTTTAACCATCATTTTCCTAATCACTTCTCGTCTACCTCCATTAATTAAACAATTAGCTCAACATGTAAAGAACAAGTTTAAAATCACGATCAATTCCTTTTTCTATATTAATGTTGATAGATATGTAACAACAACATGAGTTTTGATACGGTGAGACTGTTTTACTCTTATATATCAAAGCTTTCGGATTTGAGGCCTGAAGATGTATCATATCCGAGTAGGGCCTAGCCATACAAATTTAGTTAGAGCTCCAATGTGGGCCCTGAATACCACGTAGACAAAATTAAAAAAAAAGAGAAAAGAACGGACATAAGATTAAATATGGAATATTCAAGACAACAATAGAAAGCTATATTCGAGTCTTAGATTTTGATCTAGCTTTAATTTCCAAAAAATTGGTTCTGAAGATGCACACAAAAGGACTAAACATGAATAAAAAGGATCAATCGAACAAGATCCTTCTCCTTTCTTATAACTTAATCGTCTAGTCCAATTAAAGATGGATTATAAAAACAGACATAGGAGAAATTATATATGCTACCAAGTACAAATTAAATCAATAAATACAATATAATGAAAAAACATGTCGTGTGTGTAGTTAAATATTACCTAGAAAAACAGCAGCAACGAGAAGGGAGCAAGTAGAAATATTTGCCATATAATTTCTTTCTGAAAACAAAACAAAAAAAGCAGTTTTTAAGAGGACAGATAAATCTACAAGAGTACTTGTTTATGTTTTTTGGTCACACCAAATATATAATTTGGATGAGTTCTTTGTACTTATTATTATGAAATAAAAAAGTTGTGAAAATGGATATATATCAACTATTATATAATAGATAGACGATCACTCTTTTTTGTTATGTTCATTAATTACCAGGAAAATGGCCTTGAATTAATTGTCAACCACAAACTGTTTTTTTCGTCGAATAATGCAAATAAACAACTATTTGACCACTAATGACAGTGATCTGATTGATAATTTGCAGACGTATTCTATTTTATTTAATCATTTAGCAAATAACCAGCTGTATTAACACTAATGGCCACTGTTTTTCTTTTCGAAATTGACCCCATTCACGTAATAACGTGGCAACAGAAATTTGAGTCTAGTCACAAATTATTTGGTCAGCTACAAACTTTTCTAATATTATTTTTTATCATGTCGGTCACAGATTAATTTTTTTATTTATTTTTTTCCCGTCTCATATTATCTATCATAATTTTTGTAAGTAATTATTTTAAATAGAATAATTCTCTTTTTATTATTGAAAAGACACGTGGAAGATGTGTAAAGCTATAGAATTTTAAAAAGTATATAGATTGAGACAAAGAATAATAAGATATAATTTAATTAATATATGTCTCTGAAATTTCAACCACGACTACTTTGAGATGTTGTGCCCTATCCCTATGATGTGTTTTTGCCTGTACTAAAAAAATGTAAAATCATATACTTACTCCTCTGCATTTTCTTTTAATGAATATAACTATGTGAGTGAGTTGAGGTATTAAATAATGAAGTACATGAGATATGTTTGTAACTAAGTAACTATAATTGAAACAAATTGAAGTGAAAAAAAGGAGGAAATTTATGATCATAATGGAAATCTTAAATTTGATTTTATGAACTTTCTGAAAAGAAGAAATACATTTTTATTCATTCATTCAAAATTTTTGCTCATTTACTTAAATCAGTACTCAACCTTTTATAGGATATTAGTCATGTTTAATTTTGGTATACATATATAAAAGATCAATTATATATTATTTGTTTGTATAAAGCGAGAAAAAGAAAAAGACAAAAGAGAATTGGGAAGGAGAATATTTGTATTGTATAATTATTAGTGTATAGGATGAATATACGTGTATTTGCATGTATATATATAATTTTCTCTCACTTTATACAAATATAAATGCAATTTATACATTTCTGTTTGTACAAGCGAGAGAGGCAAGTGTGAGAGAGACTGGCGAACGAGGTCTTGCATTTATACATTTCTGTTTGTACAAGCGAGAGAGACTGGCGAGCGAGATCTGGGAGAGGAGAGAGAGAGGAACGAAAATATATATGTATATATACAATTATTTCTCCCTTTATACAAACACAAACACATCTTATACATTTGTATTTGTATAAAAATGAGGAAGAGAGCGAGAGTGACGAGCGAAATTCACCAGGAGAGAGGCAAAATAATAATAATTTGTTAGGGGTATAACTAAATCAAACTATTTTTATAACATTTAATTTAAATTAATAATTTGTTATTATATACGCTTTTCCTTAAAAAAATCCATGGGCAACTATAAGTAGAACTGTGTTATACTGTTAATATAACTATATATATATATTTAGAGAATCAAATATTTTAAATTATTTCTATAATTTTGATCTCGAAAAACTTGAACAATATATGTAGCTATAGGCACAAAATAAATATTTAACCCTCGTAACATCAAACACTACCACATAAATCGAACTTAAATATATTCAGATTGCTATACTAATCGATTGAACACAGGTCTCTTGCATTCTGTCAGAAAGAATGTCGTGCAGTTCAGATTGCTTTTGATGAAAATGTAACGAAGATGTATTCGGAGGCATCAAAGAAAAACACAGACAATTAATTGAGAAGAAAGACTAATATAAGCTAATTATATTATACTTTATGTACCATAGCTTATAGGCTTTACAATATCATATCTAAAAAATAATTATCTTTTATAGTTAAATTAATGAGTTTGTCCAATATTATTAGTAGTACTGTTGTGTCTGTTTACAAGAAGTCATCAAGTGTGTTATAATATTTGAATATCGTGGTATGAAAAATCTATGTTGTTCAGAATTTGGCAAAAATTATTCTTTTTTTCCCTTCCTATTAATGTCTTATAAATTTTTACTATCAGCATTTTTGTAAGATCAATTGAGTAGGTAAATTTCAGATCTTTCGTTTAGGTTCAAATACACGAAAATCAAGGAAATTTTTTCATTAATAATCATATGATATGATCAATTTATTAAGTACGAAGGGTGTACATGGTGATACGATGAAGGATCGAAGGATCAATTGAGGCTCTTGTGAGACTTGTCCATTATTATTTTGATATCACTATGTAAGTCGTGTTCCCACTTTATAAACAAAATAAAATTAAAATTTTAATTCAAAGATTATATTCAAATTTTTGATATTCAACAAGATATATGATATATAACATTGTATAATTTTTTTGAATTTGTTGTTGCTTTATTATTGGTTTTTTTAACCAAAAGTTATATTTCTGTATTCAATATTGAGTTCAATTAATTTGAATTGAATTTTAATATTGTATACAATTAAATCAAGTTGAATGTCATTACTAATTTCAAGTTTAAACTAGTGATGATTATACTTATCAAGAAATTTTATCATAAATTTATTTTTCTACTTACGTAGTACTATAAAAAAAATTGATTTAGCTCAATTCAATTTGATACACTAAAAAACTTAATTGAACTCGACTTGCTCAGCTAGACGCTCATGCCTAGTGAATATATTAACAAAAGAGTGATATCGTAACTCTAATAATTAATTAGTGATAAATTAATAATTACTCTTATCATAGATTTTACCAAGAATGTTCATATTGAACAAAATAACAACTAATGTTGTGCCATAACAAAGAAAATCCTCAAGGATTTTAATTTCTAAAAAACAGATGATTGTACTTTTAGTTCCTCGTATTTTAAAAAAGTTTTTTTTTTTATAAAAGAATCTTCATGTGACAATATAAATATATATATATATATATATATATATATATATATATATATATATATATATATATAAAACCCTTTTTCCACCGGATCCATTGCAGGAAAGGGATAATGTGCAACTTCGAATTGTCAATTATATCCTTTATGAAAATGGCAAATCGATTCGAGAAATTTCTGATACGAATATTCAATTAGTTCGAACTTGTTTAGTATTGAATTTGAACCAAAACAAAAAAGTTCTTGCGAAGAAGCCCGTGCTTCTTTTGTTGAAATAAGGACAAATGGTTTGATTCGACATATGGATAAATAGTTATCTGCATCACACAGTTGACTAGAATGTCAACATATAAATAAACTTACTAGACACACATATATACATTTTGTTACCATAAGATATTCACATCCAATTGATTCAACTTACCATATGTCAAAGTAAATGAAACTCTGTCCCATCCCACGTATGTAACTGATAATTTTACCATATATAGTTTAACTGTGTTTTTATATTTTAATCCTAAAATACTAATTTGATGCAGTAAAAAATATGTACTAATTAAGTATGATTAGATAATTAATACAAGTAATGTATGTACAAGTAGATATAAAGCATCTACTAGTTTGTTGTAAATATGTCAAGTTTTTATCCATATTTTTTTGTATAGAATAATTAATAAGTAAAAAATTAGAAATATAATGAGATATAGGTAGATACTTGACCAAAAGTTGAAGGAGCAAATTAATTAGTAGCTTATAACTATTGGGATTTGAAGAACATGCATGATGAGTTGTAAAATGTGTAAACGTTGTCGTTTGGATCAACCTTAACAGAGATTCGTCTACAAATAATCCAATTACCAAGGCAGCAGTTTCTTCTACGGGTTGAATAAGAATGCAGATAATAGTAGATACAAGGCAAATTCAAACAATTAACATGAGTAGCATCACCCACACTACAATAATCAAGAATACAGATTGGTCTTTGCAGTCTTAAGCTTTCTCCTGCCCCATGTCATCACTGAAAATCAATCAGAAAAATCATTTACAAACTATTAGAGGCAGCTCGCAAATGTAGGCTCGGAATGTCATGTACAACTTATAAAGACTCTATTTGCAGCTCTGAGTGAAACATAAGCACATTCTTCTATAACTTTTGGTAGATATATGAGTCGATTTCTTCAATAATCTGAAGATATTCATGTTACATCATCGTCTGCAACACTACCGATGTTCACACTTCCAGAAATACGAGAACAGGAAACAGAAAGGCAAGGAGTATGTGAATGCATCAAGCTGTACTAAGAAAACAAATAGGCCACATTACCATGACATCCGACACCTCATCTCCAAGAGAACATAGGGAAAATGGTGAATGATTACTTCATAGAAATTAATTATATATAGGATAGCAGCGATTTCAAGAAAGAGGGGGCACAAGCAAGACACTCTGCTTTTGGCATGAAAACATGGGAAGTTGATACTATTACATTCTGGAAATAAAAAAAAAATCATACTGGATGCAGTTGAAAGCAAAGAAACAAGTCTAACCTCCACGTGGAGTGCAGAACTGCAGAAACTCAACCAACCATTGTGCGCTTTCTTCCTCTTTGCCTCACTAAATAAGTTACAAAAAAAAAAGAAAGGAAAAACATAAAGAAACCATCGGAATTAAAACCATGCTACTTCTTCTTTCTAGGAATAACAAGGTAATAAACAGAAAGGGACATGTATGAAGAGTCGGCAGCACCTTCCGCTAGCTTGTTCAAGGTTGATGACCATTGCTTTGAGGACTTCCTATATGCAGCAAGTATACGGTCCATCTGCGATAACCATATAAACCATACATGATGAATATGAGAAAAAGAGCACCGAGAGAAGTAGAGAACTGTTCGATAGTGTCATAAAAAATACTGCTTCTGAGAAGAGGGGGATGTTTTCCGCAATAATATGACACAAAAGGCAAAAGGAATATTAATTTTAAAGAAGAAATTAACATCCTTTGCCTGAAAGAGATTATAATTTAAAAATGAGAGAATACAGAAGAACAAAAAGCTTCAAACGGCTTTATACAAGCCTCTAACACACAAAACAGTAGATATGACGGAGCTTACCACATTTCCACAAGAAGAGTGCATAGAGAGTAAAGCACGTTCCAGTACATATAAATCAACTGCTTTATCTTCTGGAAGCGTTGAAGTAAAGCTTAGACCAAAGTCAATCAGCACCTGGAGAAAAAGTACCAGAGAGAGACAAATAAACGCATTGAGGTGACCTTAGAACTTCATCCTCCAAAACCACGAGAAAAAGGCAAATAAAGAATGAAATTGAAGACAAATCAATCATGAGAGCTACAGGAGCTTCGAAAAGAGAGAAAAAGTTCACCAGCTGATTGGCAGAACTCCTCAGTAACATGTTTGATGTTGTCAAATCGCCATGGACTAGGCCACCATCGTGTAGTTTTCCAATAGCATTACCAATCTGTGTTGTAATATCAGCCATTCGTTCTTCGTCAACTCCAACTAGTCCAAAGCCAAGCAATATATCTTTCACCGAAGGACCTTCAACATATTCAAAGGTGAGAGTGTGCATAACAGTGTCAACAGCATACAACACTGGAGTGACAACACCAAGCCGTCTAGCTTTTGTCATGCACCTTGCTTCCTGTGACAGGATTCCAATATTTCTTTAAGAAACACAAGTTTTAAGAAAGATTAAAGGAAAGAGTAGGTATCATTTACACCGACCGCATTCAACCGTTTAAGAGTGAGCTTTGAGTCCAAAATCGGATGCCTGTATTTCTTTGAAAACCGTTCCTTGATAATACACCTTCTACTACCCACAAATGTTGACTCAAATACCCTCTGATATCCTCAACAGAGAAACAAGATAAAGTGTTTCAGAAATTCTAGAGTCAACAACTACTTGCCATCAAATGAACATTGGCAGAAACAGTAGTATAAATTATTATTAACTCATAAACTATACAAAAGACACATGTGCACACAAAATCTTTCCCAAAAAAGTGAGAGAAAAAGATCAGAAATATTACAGGAAAGTTTTATATGAACTAAATATAAACTCACAGCCTCAGCTCCTTGCTTGATTAAAACCAATGATCCATCACTTCCATCTGCCTTGATTTCCATCTAAGTAAAATTTCCAATTAACTTCAGGGGCAAAATAATAAATAAGTAAATTAAAAAAAAGGGATAACAAAACTTTAGGCTTCCACGAAACAAAGTTCTTCAGCTCTTCCAACAATTCAAGTACAACATGAAGAGTGCATGCAGATGAACACTTAGGAAATTCTTTGGCATCCATGGGGGTTCGCTTACGTTGAAAACCATAAGGTCTTAGGTTCAAATCCAATCAAAGGGAAAAACACTAATTGAATCCTGTGCATCTATCCAAGCCTTGATGGATAGAGTTACCCAATACCTATGCTAGTGGGGTAGCAGATACCCCATGAATCAATGGAGGTCTGTGCTTTGGACACCATAATTATTGAAGAAAATAAATTCTTTGATTTATACAAAGGTTTTTCTGTGATTTTCTATTTTCTTAGTGGAGGGTTAAGGCAGAAGGTTAGTAGCTAGTCGAATCGAATGCTATCAAGCCTCCCCTCTGTTTCTCCTTATTTGTAATCATATTTAGGAATCACATATTTTCTTTGTTCTTCATTGTTTATTTACTATACCTCTTCTACATAATTTTTTTTATCAAGAAAAGATACTAAGCTAAAATTACAGCTTAAAATAGAGGGAGAATATTTTTTGTTGAAGAGTTGTTTATTGTAGCTAAAGGAAAGCTTCAATTTTTACAAGTATAAAACCCAATTTGTAGCATCACCAAAGCAGTAGCAGCAGAATTTGGAGATAAAAACGTGGGGGAAAAAAGAAGAGCAAAAAACAACCATAAACGATTATGAAAACTGAAGAGCAATTTGTGAGTTTTAAGAATAGTGAAAGACACCTTTTTGCCGTTGAAGATGAGCAGCGCCGCCACCGCAAACCGCACAGCTTCGGACAGTATGAGTGAAGAAGAAGGACGACCGCAGTTAGGATTTAGAAGATTTGGGAATTTGGTCCCCAAAAGTTTTAGAGAAGTGATAAATTTGTCCTTGATAAACCCAATGGCTCATCTTTTGACTTTGTAGAGAGTGAAATGTCATAAATACTATTTTAATTATGAGATTAGGTCTAAAATTAATACTTAAATTTGTATACTTTAGTTTTTTTTGATTGTTTGAAAATTTATCCGCTTTGATTTAGTATTTTAAGTATTTAAAATCTTATCAGTTTTGGTCTCTTAATTATATACTTATCGATTTTAGTTCATTGAATTTTAAAAAAATTATCATGTTTATTCTTTATCCACTTTTTTTTTTATACAAATAGCTTAGATTTATATTAACAAAACTTTTTGTGGTTAAATCTTTAAGTCATTTTTCATTTGGTTTAAATTTATTCTTGTTACTCACATTTCTCTACGTAAAATAAGATGAATAGAATAATACAAAAAGTTGCAATCTACCATTTTATAAATTTTAATTCTGAAAAAATAAACAAATTCCTTTCAATAAAGTTGTTAGAGTACAAATTTTGAATTAACAAGTAAGATCTTTTTTTATAATAAAATTAAGCATAATCAATTTATCAATAACAATAAAATATGCTTCATTTTATTGTTCGTTCAATAATATTATAATTTTTACTTTTTTCCTTGTGAATTTATTTTGAATCGTTAATGTTAAGGTTTATTGCATAAGAATAAGTTGAAGAGAAAAACAATTGAAAAATTAATGTTAAATAATTTAATTTTTCCATTAATATTAATCTAAGTTATTATATAAAAAAGAATAGACAAAGAGAAAATTTAAAATTTGATAAATTTAAATACTTGAAGGACTGGATTTGACGAAAATATAATTAAAGAAGCACTTTAGCCCTACACCTATAATTGAGGGGTGATATTTTGAAAGTAAACAGGTCCATTTAGATACAAAACAAGTTGAGAAGGAAGAGTTGGTATGTGGAAGTTTTCGGTGTAACCATTAGAGTTTGCTAACACAATTGGTGGATGGCTCCTCTAAAGAAATCCAAGAAAGATTCTAACAAGTTGAAGAAAATCAAAGCCAAAAACAAGAAAAACAACATTGTTCCTGCTGAGAACAAAGGAACTGAATGCGATTGGTGGGATAGTTTCTGGCACAAGAATAAAACATCAACCCCAGGTCCCTCTCTGCTCAAATTTACATTCTTTAACAACATTTTCTCAAATTCTATTGTTTTTTCGATTCCATTTCACTTATTAATTCGATTGGGGTGTTGGTAAGTGTCAAGATTGGAGCTTTGAAGTCTGATTTCTGCAAATATAGTTCGTTATTTTAACCCTTATTTGTTAAATTCGCAAAGCATTCAAGGGGATTCACGTATATAGAATATGTGCATAAAAGAATTGTTTTTGACAGCCCTTGTAGACAAGATGGCTCCACTCCCTGTAGGTTGAAGGGTTGTGTGAAAAATAATCTAATTATTCATGTTGTTGACTCTAACTAGCTAAATTGATTGACTTACTGCATTTACTTGAAGTCAGGTCTCTAAAATAGGAAGAGAAGAGGTTACTTAAGACTCCTGTTATAAATGATCTCTCTTAATAGTCTAATTTATTCTAGTGAAATCCAAGGCGTTGTAGATATTGTCAAAGGCGGAACGTCTTGTTATTGTTCTAGTTAGCATAATAATTAAAAAAAATCATTCTTAGGTTTGTAATGTGGTTGTTGTCCACTTGTCCTTAGAAAGATGAAGGTTTTCCCACATAAGCAAGTTTGAGAGATGCCAATAGAATGGAGTTGTCTGCTAGGATATTTTATGTAACAACAGTCTCGGAACCCGTCTTATTTCTTTTTAATCTTTGCAACTTTTTCCTGTAAGGTCATTTTGGATCTTTATTTTTTTTCTTTTTGTTGCAGGAATTAACTCACTCTTATACTTTTTATCTTGCAGGTTCTGGTGTACCTAGTGATGAAGAGGAAGGTTTCAAGTATTTTTTCCGTGTTTCCAACAAGACTTTTGATTACATATGTTCACTTGTAAGGGAGGACCTTATCTCAAGACCTCCTTCAGGTCTGATAAACATTGAGGGAAGACTTCTTAGTGTTGAGAAGCAAGTTGCGATTGCATTGAGAAGATTGGCTTCTGGTGAATCCCAAGTTTCAGTTGGGGCATCATTTGGGGTTGGGCAGTCCACTGTGTCTCAGGTTACCTGGAGATTCATTGAGGCACTGGAAGAACGTGCAAAGCACCATCTTAAGTGGCCAGAACCTAGTAAGATGGATATAATCAAGTCTGAGTTTGAACAATCATTTGGTTTGCCTAACTGTTGTGGAGCAATTGATGCAACTCACATCATAATGACTCTTCCTGCTATTCAAACCTCAGATGATTGGTGTGATCAGGAAAGCAATTACAGCATGCTTTTGCAAGGTATTGTGGACAGCGAGATGCGTTTTTTAGACATAGTGACAGGATGGCCTGGGGGCATGACCACTTCAAGGCTGTTCAAGTGCTCTGGATTTTATAAACTCTGTGAAAGTGGTGATCGTTTAAACGGAAATGTCAAAATGATGTCTGAAGGAGCAGAAGTTAGAGAGTACATTCTAGGAGGATTGGGTTACCCTCTTCTTCCATGGCTTATTACACCTTATGAAGGTGAAGACCTCTCAGATCCTATGCTAGATTTCAATGCGGTGCATGAGACTGCAAGTTCAGTTGCAGTAAAAGCCTTCTCACAATTGAAGGGAGGTTGGAGAATCCTTAATAAGGTTATGTGGAGACCTGATAAACAGAAACTCCCCAGTATCATCCTCGTCTGTTGTTTACTTCATAATATTATCATTGATTGTGGAGACAAATTACATCCTGATGTTGCCGTATCTGGTCATCATGACCCAGGATATGAGGGACAGAGCTGCAAGCAGATTGAATCAGTGGGGAGATTAATGAGGGGCAAATTAACTAAATACTTACGGAGTACCAAAAAAGAAGGCTCAATGAAGATGATCGTCTAACACTGCATTGGAAAAATTGCGGTGATTTTCTTATCACGGGCATCTCCTTTCCAAGGAAATAGAGAGCCTTTTCAAAAACTTTTGTTTCAAATCATGCCGAAGATATAAATGCAGTTCATGTACAAGATCTTTCTGAATGTAGAAAAGGTTCATAGTCCTTGAATATATGTGAAGACTTACCGTTCATACCTAACAGTTTCACATGTCATTTAGGTACATTATTCTAATCATCACTCTTTTTCTTTTTTTGTTGTGACATATGGCCTGTCCTAGATTATCTGCATTTAGCTAGAGACTTGAATCAACTGTCAATAATAATGTAAAGTGAAATTACCCTTATTTCATCCAGCATTTGAAGTCTTGATATATAGGAAGTTATGCTATGTCATGAACCATTTTCAGGCTTGCCCAATTCCTGTAGGGATATATAATATCTTAAATCACATAATTTTTTGACATGCAACAAGACGGTTATTTTGATTCAGGATATACCTGCTGTGAGTTTTCATTTTATAGGGCCTCTTAGAGGTATAAGCTCTTAGAAGTGCTTTTGATGGTGATCATTTTTTTGTTTAAGAATACTTTTTAGTAATAGCTGGCTCTTTATAAGTTACCAAATGCAATCACCTCCTACATAGTTCACAGTCTATTGTTAGCCATCTTTATTTCTTCACCTTTCTCCCCAATGTGGAAGTCTCTGTTAAATGCCTGATATTGAGTTACGGCATAACAATGAGACTAGTATATCATACGTGTAATTTCATTGAACTCACAAAAATGGAAATCAAAACATGGCTCCCAGAGAATAGATTAATACCAAAACTAATTTATTTTTGCTAGTTAAAATAGTCATGGCACACGTTGCAACTAGATAAGGAAGAAATCTTAATGTCCCTTATCAAAAAAAAAAAAAAGGAAGGAAGAAATCTTAGTGTGAATGTTCCAAGTCACATAGGAGGTTATTGCATGATAACTTAATTAAGTAATTGTAGCAAATGTACATCTTTTACCATGCGATAACCCATGCCAATGCAGCTAGTCACTAGCCTCCCCTTGAGCCACCTCGGTAGGAAGACATTGGTGAAGTTCTTAAGCCTTTGGGGCAGAACGAGCTACACTTTACAAGTAATCGGCTATTTGGTCTCAGGAAAGAACTCTATGATGTGAAAGTGAAACCGAAAGCAATTCAGTGTAAACAGTGTCAGATGCTAGTCATAAGCTTATACAAATTCTTGCATGGGGCCAAAGATATTGAATACACATAAGATTGATCCTACAGTGAAAACTGAACATTTACAGATCATTGCAGGTAAATAATCATTCTTAAAATGGGAGCACATTATTTTACAAAATGTGGGAGATTAGTAGAACCCCTTCCAGTTTATTCTATGGAAGAGTACTGCAGCAAAATCTTGACTCCTTTAAGCCAAACTATGATATGCTGCATCTTTACAAATTAAGATGCACACATGAACCACTAAAACAAACACTGTTCTATAATACTAATAATTAATTTGTAAGTCAAACAGTGTTGCTCCATTTTTGCGAACCATCTTCTGAAGATATTGGTTTGCAGGAATGAAGCATGAAGTTGCATGCTTCCACTGCTTCCCCTACTGTTAGGAACATCCATTCTTGTCCTAAAGTTTCTATGAATTTGGACTTGTTCAACTTCTTCATCACCTCTGCTCCTGGATTCGCCAAAACGAGCTGCAATTCCACAAAACCACACCATATGTTAGAGGAGTTGAACTTTTTTACTGTAACAGTGTAATAGAACTTTTGCACTATCACGCCACTTAAAAAAATAACCAGTAGAATTTATTTTGATAATGATAGTGTGGTTAGAATCCTGTGGTGGTTGGGAAATGGACTGTTGGTTTGATTATATGGACTTTGGTTTCCCTTCCCTCACGAGCTAGCTTTTAAGATTGCTCATGTCCTAGCTTTTGGAGTTGAGCTAGGTCTAAATGTCGTATCTTTACGGTTAACATAGTAAGAAACATGTAAATAAGAAGCCAACCTTGAGATCTCTTCTATCAAGATTT